TTCTATGATTCTATGATCACACAGTCTTAGTTAACATCTTCACAAGCTCTCTGACTTTCCCCTTTCTGATAAAACACGGAAGTGTATGCAAACAAAAACACATTTAAGCAAAAGACCACCATATCCAATGTCCATGATGTCACAAGGAGAGGACAGGGCACGCTCTTTAGCACGTTCAACCTGCATAGCACCTTGAATTCTTGTTAGAGATTTGACAGAGTGCTCTGAGATCATTTGTAAGGCTAGGCAGGATTCAAGAGCACAGATAGCCACTGCTCTCACTTAATCTTTCCTTCAGCCTGCATGGATTCATCAACAGGATTTGCTGATCACATTTGCATTATTGCACAATTTTTCAGCACCTGCATCTCAAGATGTCCAAGAGGGAGGAGTCTGGGAAGTAGTCCCTCACCCAGCTACAGGACAAGCCCAGCACCTCTGCTCTCATATAATTCTGACCAGGCCACTCCTAAAATGCAGTGGTACCATAATACCCATTATAACAATGTAAACGAAATTTGCAGACAATCTTTAAAAGATGACTGAGAACATAGGAGGGAAGTTCAGAGGAGCCAAAATAAAGCAGATTGACAACATGATGGGTGAGTGAATCTATAATCCACTACTTCTAAAAGTAAGTAACTAATGAGGATGTTGACAACGTTTAAAATAGTACAAGGTGGTTCAGCTATCAGGTATGGATAAAAATCCTCTTACCATTCCACTGACAGTAGTATCCTTAAAATGAAGAGCTGCCTGTGGCATGTAATAACATACCTACACCAGCCCAGGTCTCTACTGCAGAGTGACACAGAGTGTAGATGCTGATGTCAGCTTCAACTGAGCTAGCTCAGACACTGAAAGCAGTTTAACCTCTGAAGCACTGGGCTCCATATGCAATAATTCAATGCCTACAATACAGTTATACCTTTAATCTAACAAGTAACAAACAGTAGAGGTACTGGAATATATAGTCTGCTTACTAGCAGGTAGTAAGGTTGGTGTTAGTGCATCTTCCCTGCAACTACAAATGTTAGGGAAATTAAGGCAGCCTGTGACGGAACATGCTTTATTCAGTTCTTCCCTTTGCTGTGGAAACACAAGCTGAGAATGATCAGTGCGAAGAAAGGTTTCCAAAGGGGAAAACACAGAAAGGCAGGCTGGTCTAACACCCAGAAAAGATAATGCAGAACCCTGGTTCCTTGTATGGGGACTAAGTAAAGGCCCATCAGATCTGTTTAATCCCTAATATTTATAATTTTCCGGGGTTACTTTTTTACCTTCAATTTTTCCTTCATTTCAAGGCAGTGAATTTCTTCCTCTCTGTTTCACTTCCTTGTAAAAATCATCAGAGTCCAACGTCCTCTCCCTGGGATGTCTCTTGTCTTCTGCCGCCGCCTTCTTTTTATTTTTTCTTCTGTCTTTTTTCACAATACTTTTTTTTGCTGCTTCTCCTACTTCATCTTGCACAGATGAGTGTGGATAGGGCTCTGTGATCTCTCTGTCCGGGCTAGAAAATCAGACAAGGAAATTCACTAAGCTAAAAGCACACATACTATTTTAAATCCTTTTTTGCATGACATAGATTTCACCTTTTCCCAGATCTCACAGTACTGACAAGAGAAGGACTTATCACACTCGACCATCTGATAGGGCTATAAATATCTTACAGTTCAGTTTCTCTTTTATTTATAAAATAAGTAAAGTCTAAAACACAGCATGCAGTTTCACTATCTTATTTCTGTAGACACTGCATATCTTCTTAGCCTATTGCATACAATTTTTGCTCTTTAAAAAAAAATCTAGATGGTATTCCTGTTAATCTCAGTTCTAATATGATTCTGCAAGAATTCGTACACTTCATATCCTTCATAGAGAGTCCCAGCTCACTCTTAAGATTTATAACATTTTGTAGAGTACAGAATGCAGTTACAGATATCTCCTTTGACTTCACTAAGCCCCAAATTACCAGAAGTGCTTTGGTTACTAAAATTGAAACAAGTATTTAGGCACCCAGCTTTACTGATACCAGACAAGAGAAAGGCTCCTAAATATCTTTCTGTCTCTGGCCCTAATACTGGCTCTCTCCTATCACTCCAAAGAGGATTTGGGCAACAATTGTGTTTTATGGTGTGGGCCCAGGGCACGTAGTGTTTTACTCTGCATGTGAAATCTGTCAGTCACATTTGCGGAGTGCTTGTTCTGCCATCATTTTACTACTTTCCACTGTGATGGCAAGAAAACACCCCGAACAGATGCTAGCGTCTAACATTAAAATTATGAGAGCTGTATTAGTACCCCTAAAAGATTAGTGAATTAAGCATGATCCCTAGAACACACCACATAAACAGCAAAAGACAACCCCAAAGATCCCAGGGCTGAAGGTGAAGACAACCTACGGTAATACAACATCTGTATGCACTGTGGACTCCCTGTCAGGAGGGGACCCAGGGCCATCCCTTTTATTTTTTGGTCCTTTATTTCTACAGGACTTAGCACACAAAAATTGTCTCTTTTTGAGCTTCTAATATCATATTGCATTCAAAGTTTTTGGTTTATTTCTGATTCAATTATTCTTCTACTTTGTTTCTATCAACAATGTCAGCATGTTCCCAATAGATCCATGCACACCGATGGGCAATATGCTGCACTGTTCCCCTCTGATAAATAGGACATGGGAAGTACGTATCTATTTTAGACTATATAAATAGTAAGTTCAGCA